TGTTTTGACTGAGACAGAGCTCCTGCCCGACCCTGTTTTGACCTTGTTTTGCCCCAGGCAGGTGTAGCAGTGTCTCTACCTGGCAGCTGCAGCATCCCGCAGGAGAGATGATGATTTGTCACTGGTGGCTGGGGCCAGTTGTGTAACCTGAGCCTGGTTCTGGACCATTTGCTGAACTAACTCCATGACTGCCTGTCAGCTGTCCACGGGAACGTTTAGGAATGGCCAAAACTTGTGTCAGGGCAGAGCTGTGTGTCTGAGTCGTTTGTAGCTACTAATTGCATACTCACTGTCTGCTGCAGTTAACGCTCCCGTGAGTCTCTGTGCTGGCATTAACACGGACCCCTGGCAGCTCCCCCCTGTGCTGGTGTGTGTCCTGGCACATGTCCCCAGCCTGAGGTCAGTGTCATGTCATGTCCTCAGTGCTGGAGGCTGGTGCTGCTCCAGCCTCCTGGGCCAGGACCAGAGCAGAGCCCATCCCAGGTGCACAGCCACGAGGATGCTCCACACACTGCTCTGCAACCTGTGTTCAAGGGGAATGGTCCCTTCCTTCCCTCCCATTTCCACATCAGTTTGATGTGAACCCTTCCCAAAACAACAAAAATCTCCAACATGCACACCTGCAGTTACTTGGTTGCAAACGAGAAATAACCCAGGGTGTGGTGGTGTTCGCAGGGGTCCCAGGACGAGGGAAGAGATGAGAATCTTGACTCCATGTTTCAGAAGGCTGATTTATTATTTTATGATATATATTATATCAAAAGAAAATTATATACTAAAACTATACTAAAAGAATAAAAGGATTTCATCAGAAGGCTAGCAAGGAATAGAAAGGAATGATAATAAAATCGTGTGACTGACCAGAGAGTCCGAGACAGCTGGACTGTGATTGGCCATTAATTAAAAACAACCACGTGAGGCCAATCAAAGACACACCTGTTGTGTTCCACAGCAGCAGATAATTATTGTTTACACAGAATTTCTGCAGCCTCTTCTCAAGAGCTTCTCAGGAGAAAAAGTCCTGGCAAAAGGATTTTTCATAAAATATGTCTGTGACACCCAGGGGACGCATCCATGGCCATGGGTGCACCATGATGGACCCACGGCTATGGCGGGAGGTCCAGCTCTGCTCTGTTGGGCATTGCACCCATGTGTCCCCCCAAAAACATAATCTGGGGCTCTCTCCTGGATATAAAAAACTTATGCATCTCTGTAGCGCTCAGCTTGGCTTTGGGGACAGATGGACACAGAAGTCCCATGCTCTGTGATGCCCAGGGGGTTCTGGTTGTCCACCCTTAATGTCCCCTGAGACCTCTGAACCTGAGGGAAGGACCCTTGGCCATGGCAGGAGGTCTGGCTCTGCTCTGTTGGGCATTGCCCCCATGTGTCCCCCCAAAAGCATAACCTGGGGCTCTCTCCTGCTGGTCCAGTGCCATTCTGCTGGCCGTGCCCTGAGCAGCGCTGTCCTTGCAGGATCTCGCAGCACTGAAGATCCCGGAGCAGTACCGCATGATCATCTGGCGGGGTCTGCAGGAGCTTAAGCAGAGCCATGACTACGGCGCCCAGCAGCTGATCCGCTCCAGCAGCAGCAGCAACGCCTCCACCATCTCCATCGGCAGCTCGGGCGAGCTGCAGCGGCAGCGGGTGATGGAGGCCGTGCATTTCCGCGTGCGCCACACCATCACCATCCCCAACCGCGGCACCGCCGACGACTGGGCCGACTTCGGCTTCGACCTCCCGGACTGCAAATCCCGCAAACAGTCCATAAAGGAGGAGTTCACGGAGGGAGAGATCAACTGAGGGGCTCCAGAGGTGGCAGCGAGACACCAGCGGGGTGACAAAACCCCCCCACCCCTCAAAAACGTATTTGCAGCCTTGGGCACCTGGAGAAGTTTAAGTTTGTTATATCCAGGGGAACTGCGGGCCCTGAGCCAGGCAGGAGGTGCCTGCCTGGGGAGGAAACTGGAGGTGAGGAGGAGGAGGAGGAAGGAAAGGAGGAGGGCAGCCGAGCCAGCTCAGCAGACAGAGCGGGGTTTCTGCCTGCCCACGGCACAGGAGGCACTGTGTGGTTTGTGTTTTCCTGGAGCATCCCTGCATCCAGCAGTGTAAGGACAGCACATTTTTCTCATCCCTGCTCGCCATCCGTGTTCTTCATGGTGTCCCAAACTGAGAGGGCTTTGGCACTGCAACAGACTCAGCCCTGACCTGTGAAGGCATTGCCAGGGACTGGTGTGAAGCCACATCCTGCTTTTCCATGGACTGCCAAATGCACCCCTTCCCTCAGCCCTCAGTAGAGCCAGAAAGATCCTGTTTGTCCATTACCAATGTGTTCTTGTACTTAAAGGTTGGTGTATATAAACAGAATGTACATACAGTAAACTCGTTGTGCTGTAAGGAGAGAGAAAGATTTATTTTCATGTAAGCTATAAAAATTGATACTGACTCCTGAGACACCGCAGTGTCAAGTAAATTAATTCCATGTTGTAGCATGTAAACATGCAGACAATCCTGTCTCCAGCCTTATCTGTTCAAAACTCAGTTTTTTCCCTCTTCTGAGTCTCTTGCATGCAGTTGTGGAAAAGCCAGTGATTGTCCTGGGAAGTCAGAGGTCTGGATAATCCTTCCCTGCTCCCTTGGGGAGTTTTGTTGACAGGTCAGACCTGACAAGCTGGAATGCCATGGTGTAAATTCCACCTTTTTGGAGCACAGCATGGACTGGCTGCCCAATTCTCTTCTGTTCCTTGTCATTTTCCCCAGCTGCAATTTCTCTGTTGATTCAGACTGGGAAAAAAGCCTTCACAGAAAGCAAGGACACAAATAGCTGTGTTCCCTCCCTGATTGTTTATTCCCTACACTTTTGGGAAGACAATGTCCCACAACAAGTCTTGGAAAGGCACTGGAAGTCTCAGGAGCTGTTGCTGTGGGAAGGAGGGCAGGGAGCTGCTGCATCTGCCCCCTCAGCCCTGGGTCACTGGAGATTTTGGGCAGCCTGAGGGAACCTGCACAGAGATGACGCTGCCCAGCCCATTCCCACTGCTGCACTCTCCCCCTGGAGGCCTCCAAAGGCAGCCTTGCACCTGCTTCCCACCACCCCCAGGCTGGGGAAGGGGCTGGATACCCTTCCCAAAGCCCTGGCCCCTCTGAGCAAGAGCAGGAGAGCTGAAATCCCAGCAGGGCTCACCTGAGATGTGACTTCTCCTCCAGGCAGGCAGTGGCTGCTCCCTCTGCAGGGGGGACAGGAGTGTGACCACTGCATGTGCTGCACCCACAGCCCTGGGATGGGACCTTCCTCCAAGGCCCTGTCTGGCTGTCCCACAGCAGCTCGGAGCCTTCAGCACACACAGGTTGCCTCTTGTCCCTCCTCTTCCTCAGGGACTGGTGAGCTGCAGGTGCAGTCACCACCCCTGAGGCCATCCCACCCCTCACACCACAGGGATTGGGAACCTTTGGGATTGGGAGCTCCCCTGGTGTGGCTGACAGTGATCTGTGTCCCCAGGAAATGGCTCAGTAAAGCACTTTAATGCTTTAAAGCTTTTGCAACCACCACTCACATTTCCAGGGTTCCCAGGGCTGTTCCCAGCAGTATTAATGGATCACTCTGTGATAGGAATTGTATTTTTTGTAATGTTATCTTTGGAAAATGTGTTATTTTTATAGATGTGTTTACTCTTTTTTGTTTTGGGTTGTTTTTCTGTTGTTTGGTTGGTTTTGGATTTTTTTTGTAACACAATAAAAGCACATGTGGGAATTCTTGCATCTAAAACTTAAAACTGGACAGAAAGTGCCCTCTTAACCCAGAGTAAACCTTCAACTGTAGGACCTCAAAAGGCCTAAAGCTACTGAAACAAAAAAGAAACCCATCATTGTGTACTAATTTGCTACAGCAAGAACAGAGAGACAAAAACCAGCTTCTGGACACATAATTTCTTTTTTTTCTTAATAAATGGCTAAAAAATAGTGAATGGAATGGAGAACAAGCATTAAGACACAGTTTTTCTGAGCTTGAAAAATTACACTGTTAAAAACAATTTCCCAAAAAGAACACAAATTTCACCATTATTTCTAGTTTTAGGAGTATATATTCCACAGGTAGGAATTGGAAATTGATTGAACTAAAGGTTCTTGCAAGAAGTTTATAAACTTAATGCCTTGAAATGGAAGAAGTCAAGAATGTTGTTGTAATTCAATAAAAATAAAAAAAAATTAAAAAAAAAAAAAAAAAAAAAAAAAAAAGGTTTCAAAAGATCTTGAAAACTGGTATGTGATAGCCAGACAGGAACAGTCAGAGCCTCACATCTGCAGAGAGCTCCACACACCACAAAGGCCCAAAGCTCCTGGCAGACACTGACTGGCCTGTGGCTCTGCCTTCTGCTGGGGTCTGTGTCCCAGACAGGATCATGCAATCCCAGACAGGTTTGTTTGGAAGGAACCTTAAAGCTCATCCCATCCCAGCCCTGGCATGGCAGGGACACCTTCCACGATCCCAGCTTGCTCCAAGCCCTGTCCAGGCTGGCCTTGAACACTTCCAGGGATGGGGCAGCCACAGCTTCTCTGGGAAATCCATTCCAGCCCCTCACCACCCTCCAAGGGAAGAATCTCTTCCATATATCCAATCTAAACATACTCACAGATGCTCCTGTGAGCATGAAATGCTTTTTTGAGCATTAAATCACCTCCCTTGTGGCACTGCAGGGAAGGCGCCTGCTTGTGACTTCTCCTCCAGGCAGGCAGTGGCTGTTCCCTCTCCAAGGGGAGACTTCTCCCTCATCCCAGATACTGGTGGTCCTCCACTACCCTGCCTGGCCCAAGGAGCATTACTCTTCTCCCAGGAAAACAGAGCTCTGTGGCCAGCAGCACTCTCCAGGAGGAAAAACCACCTGGATGAAACCACACGGAATTTCTTGCAGGCTCTGGCTGACATGGTGGGAACCCTGCCCCGCCCCAGCAATGAGTGCTCCTGGCTCAGAAGTGCCTCTGTCTGCTGGGCATTCCCAGTGGGAACACCAAAACCACCTTCTGTTGAGGCCACTGGGTGGGAGTGGCTGTCACACAAGCTCAGCCTTGACCCCAGGCGGACCCGTGGCACTGCTGTGCAAGTCCACAGCAGATCCATTCCTCCAGGACTGCTCGGCTGCTGCAGCGACCTGGATGGTCCAGAGGAGCTGCTCCTTGGTCACCACGGGGGGCTCCTGGCCTGTGGGACAGCAACAAAGCACTGGATGAAACCCATGGTCCCCTGTGAGCACAGATCCCCCCACAGCACTGGGGCCGCAAGACTTAAAACATTTCAACCCCTCCTCCTGCCCTGGCAATGCAGCCACAACAACTGAAATACTGCTGAATAAAAATAGCTTGGACTAGATGAACTTCAAAGCCTCTTCCCACCCAAGCCACTCCATGATTCTGTGATTTTTATCCTTTCAGGGCACCCAGGACTCTGGCTGAGGATAGTGTGGACTAGATGATCTTCAAAGCCTCTTCCCACCCAAGCCACTCCATGATTCTGTGATTTTCATCCCTTCTGGGCAGCCAGGACTCTGGCTGAGCATAGTGTGGGCTAGATGATCTTCAAAGCCTCTTCCCACCCAAGCCACTCCATGATTCTGTGATTTTCATCCCTTCTGGGCAGCCAGGACTCTGGCTGAGAATCTCTTGGCTGTCACAAACAGCAGGAAGGTCCAAGGGAGTTTCCCCTCCCAACTCTCATTTCTTAAACCCAGCACAGAGTTTCAGATCATCATTCCCCACCCATCTCCATGACCTGACACAGTGCATCCCTAAGAAAGCCAACCCAAAGCAACACCAGCCATCCATTTAAGCCTTGTCCCACCTTTCAGGGCTCTCAGGAAGTGCCGGAAGAGCTCCCTGTAGGCATTTCTGTAGCGCTCAGCTTGGCTCTGGGGACAGATGGACACAGAAGTCCCATGCTCTGTGATGCCCAGGGGGTTCTGGTTGTCCACCCTTAACGTCCCCTGAGACCCATGAACCTGAGAGAAGGAGCAAAACAGGGAGGAAAGAATATTTTGAAGTTATCACATTTTCAATCTCACACACTTGGCCAGGTTAGAGAAGCCCTGGTTTGTAAAACCAAGACAAAAGTAGGTTCTGAAATGAGGAGTCACATCTGCCCCAGCCCTGGAATGGCTCAGACACAACAGAAACACCATGGATCTGCTGTAGTACAATGGCTTCCACTTGTGTGATACCTCACCTGAGCAAAGCCCCTTTTATAAGGGCCTAACAGAAATTCCTCCCCAAGACCAGCCCCCATAGCTGTAATTATTCATTACTGTAGGAATTTACACTTTTCTTCCCCTTTCATATGCAGGACTCCTGCTACACAGCTGAGACCACCCTAGAAAGGACAAAGGAAATCTGCACAATTTCAGCCTCAGGAGAGCTGACACCAGTTCCTGCTCTGCTATGATTCATGCAGCTCTTAACACCACATAATGCATGGGACAGAGAGAAAATTTGGGTGAGAAAAGAGAAAGTGGATTGTAGACTGAAAAAGGACTGCTGCTGAGGCAACAGCCAAACAAACAGATGTGGCACTTAAAGCTCTGCTCTGGGTGACAAGGTGGGGATTGGTGACAGGTTGGATTTGATGATCCTGGAGGTCTTTTTCATCCTCAATGATTCTGTAATAGAGGGTGTTTGGGAAATGTGCTGCAGGCACAGTCAGAGGAGTCAAAACAGACTTGACTGAGCAGCAGGGCCCCACCTCCAGCCGCTGGTCACAGCTCCTGGTGCAGTGCTGGCTGATGTCCAGGGTGACAATGGCTCCGCTGGGGAACTTCATGCTGATGGTGACCATGTCCACATCCCTCAGGCAGCCCATGTCTGGGGACAAAACAGGCCTGGCTCACCCCAGGAACAGCAAACCAGCACATCCTACAGCCACAAAATGCTGTTCTTCCTTTGGGAGGTGACACTGGCTTTGTGACAGCTTCCCACAGCACCCCAGCTGCTTCACCAGCATTCCTGATGGAACACAGGCAGTTCTGCAGGAACACACAGCCCCAGGCCCAACTCCACCCTGCCAGCCTGCAGCTCTCTAATGAGGGCACCCACCTGTGCTTCCAGGAACAGGCAACTTCCAGCACGTTGCTGGAGCAGACAGAGGGCACAGAACCCTCCTGGAGGGCTCTTGTTTGCTGCATTTCAATGCTGTGCCATGCAAGAGAGTGCTGCATCCTGCCCCTCCTCACCCCAGCCAGCCAAGCTTGGCAGCTGCTGCAATTACCTTAATTAAAACTCTGCATTTCCATTTCAAAAACGGCACCTTCCACCTTTTAGGGTTCGTTTAAATGAGTGTGGTAACCCAGAGTGTGCATATCAACCCAACATGACCCAGAGCAAAGGCACAGCTTTGAGCTGGGATCCACAGGGAAGGGCCAGAGAAAGCAGAGAATGAACATTTCATTGACATTTTTGTGAGCTCAAACCTTAGCTCAGTTATCTTCTGTACTCTGGTTCCAAATCCGGTGTCCTGCAGAGTCATGTTCAATGATAACTCCACTGCAACTGCTTCACATCAGCAGGAGATTCACCAGATTCAGAGATCTCCACCAAATACCCCCAAGGAACCTGCCTTATGTTCCACCAGCCTGTTTATTCAGCTGCTCCATGATGGAACAATTGTCATGGCTATAATGCTCTCATTCCTTTTTTGTTGCTAGTTTTAACCTTGAAGTCCAGAGGTACCCAATAAACCATCAAAAGACTCATTCTTACCTGCACAGAAGGCACGGCCCAGGGAAAATATTGTATCTGGCACACTCTCTCCCAACAACAAACTGATAATATCTATGTCATGCACGGCAGCATTGTAAAAAATTCCACCTGGAAGAAGCAAAACTGGGCTTTAATGTCTCCATATTGAAACCCACAGCCAATTCATATTTCTGAACTGTACAGAGATGGTATAAAAAGCCCCCACAGTGAAGAAACTAATACTAAAGGGACAAAAAAATGCACAGAAATGAAGTTTGGTAAAGAAAACACTCCTCAAAAAACTCTCCTCCCCATGGATCTTAAGGCTATACAAATTCAGGGGAATTCCCACAGAACACAGAGACATTTCCAGAACAGGTTTTGGATCAACCTGGTCTGGTTAAGGTGTCTCTGCCCACGGCAGGGGGTGGAACAGATGAGCTTAAATGTCCTTTCCCAGCCAAACCATTCCATGACTCTGAGTGAAGCCCAGGCTCTTCAGCAGGGAGCTGCTGGGTACCTGAGGCTTTCAGCAGGCTCAGAGAGGCTGCAGGATAGAGGCTGCTGATGGTTGATACCCGGTGGATCCTGCCCAGGGCTCGGCTCTCCCGCACCTTCTTGTATAGGAACTGCAGGGCTGGGTCAAAGCGCCTTCCAAGGGAAACAAGGATGAGGTTGTTAGGAAAATTAATCCACAAACATCAGAGGTTTATGTCCAAAAAGGAGACTGAGGAGTCCTTTTTACTTTATTTTTATAAAGGGAGAGGCCATGGGGCATTCCCCTGGGATCTCTCCAATTTTTGGAGGATGCAGCCTCCTTTTTATCCCAATTTCCCAGCCACATTTCCCTTCTCTCTTTCCCCATTGGCTGAGATACTTGAGAGGTTCAGACTTCCTGATACACCTGATACCAAAGATTTCCCTCTAATGTATAACCCTCCCTTTTAATTTTTAATTCTTACAGAATTTACGGGTTTTTCTTCCCCATTGTTTCTTTCATATTTCAATGTCTAATTTCGTTTATCAGCAAACCTAAAGTTTATTTGTAAAAGCAAATATCTTTTTCCATTCATCAATCAGTGGAATCCTCCCCATTGTTTCTTTTTATCTTCCAGTGCTGGTTTTATCTACCAGCAGACCCACAGCTTGTTTGGAAAGACAAATCCACTGTTCCTCTCAAGGTGAAACCAAGCTGATTTGAGGACCAAGTCAGGAAAGCCTGAGGAATCAGTGCTGCTTCCAGACATGGGATTTTATAAAGAATAAATCACAGGAAAACCACTGGTCTTACTTGTAGAACCCACACACGAGTGGCCTCCCACACCTGTCGGCCTCATCAAAACAGGCTTCTGCTGTCTGTCTGTCCAAGCTGGGCAGCCCCTCACAGAACACACCTTTACCTGTGCAAAACAGGACACACACGGGGCTCAGGGGAGACACAGCTGCACAAAACACCTTGATCTTGCAGTAACAGCTCGTTAGATTTCTGGTTTTGATGGCATTTACCCCCTTCTGCCTGCCTGCTGTGGTTTCAGCTGTCCCAGACCCCAGGAGTGGGACTGTTTTGGTGACAGCTTTCCTGTGAGTCCTGGTGGGATTTTAGGATGAGACACTGCCCAGTCATACTGGGACCAGCATAGCACAAACCCCACTGGTGTCCAGCCATTAACATCAGCAGGGATCTCAGAGACTTTAATTACACAGTTTGAGAGCCTGCACAGCTCCAGGGCTGCTGCTGAAACACAAACACACTCACAAGTGCACATCAACGGGCACAGGGAAAAGCTGAATGTGCAGCTGCTCCTCTCACCTGCTCGTAAGGCATCTCTTACCATCTCAGGGGCTTTGTCAGGTGGAGAACAAATAATGGCTCCAGAAACTCTGCAGGAATCAAGAGAGATCTTCAGTAAGAACACGGTTTTCACTAGGTCAAACAATGCTCAAAAGCTCTGTTTGGTAACAGTTTAAAAAACCTAAAACCCCATTGCTCTGGAAGAGCCAGCTGGGTTATAGAAGGAACTCGGTGCCTGCTTCAAGGATGAAATATAGTGACACACATAGATTAAAATCACAAGTGGCACAAAGGAATTGCACTGCTTCTCCTGCATCTTCAAGGAGAAAGTCTTTTAAAGGTTTCCTTTAAAAAGTATTTAAATCCTGACAGTTAACACACACACAGAAATCCAAAGTATTTATGTGGTAGAGCTGCTGATCAATGCATCTTAGCTTCCTGTGATTCTTTATTTTCTAGTATCAAATCTGCCTTTCCTAAAAGCTCTGCCTTTTGCTCCTGCAATATTTTAGACCTGACCGCAACAGCACTTTAGTGATGTTACAGTTGTTCAGTTCAATCTAAAGCAAAATGCCACAATCCTCCCACAATTTACACCAACCCTCGCTTATCTCAGAGCTCCAAGAGCCACCAAACTCAGCTGACTGCTCTGAAACAGGAAAATTGGCAGGAAGCAGGGAAGCTGCCATTTATTATTGTTCTGTGGGAATGCAGGAAAATGTTTGGTTTTTTTAAATTTCTTAACAAAACTGCCTGTACCTAAACACCTCCAAGTTTCCCTTAATCTGGGGCCCAGTTAAGCTGCTCAGAGACCCCTGAAGGACCTATGGGTAGGTGACAAAAGGGCCCCTCACTCCCGCACGGATGGCCAGAGGGACAGTCTGGGGCTGCTGCAGAGTTTCCCAGAGGGGAAGGCAAGGCTGGCATGGAGCCTCCCGCCCTGAGCAGAGGCACAGCCAGGAGCTGGTGGACAGAGGGACAGTCTGGGGCTGCTGCAGAGTTTCCAGAGGGGAAGGCAAGGCTTGTGTGGAAGCCCCCGTGCTGGTCAGTACCGCGGGTCGCTGAGTGCGAGGGTGGCCTCCTGCTGCTGCAGCACCCTGGTGCCAGCTGGGACCTTGGCACCAAAGGCACGTTCCACCTCCTCCAGCTGATCCTCCACCACGTAGAGCAGGCAGCATCCAGCTTCCTCCAGCAGGCTTTGCAACAAGGCTGTGCTCACGAGCCCTGCGCCGAAGAGCACGAGGCCGACGCCGCTGCCACCATGGCATGAGGGGGGTGTCAGGCTGTTGGAGGCATCAGGTGCGGGCTCGCTTTGGCCAGGAGGTGCAATCCTGGTGTGGAAGGTGGCCAGCGGTGAGGGGTGGCTGGCAGAGGTGGAGGGTGTTGGGTCATCCCTGTGTGTGGTGGGGATGGGGCGGTGGGGAACCAGCAGCTTGTGGTAGGAGGGTGGGGAGGGGACCATGCTGTAGCCAGTGCTGGATCCAGTGGTGATGAGGAAGGAGGGATGGGAGAGCAGGGAGGGCACGTCGAGTGGCAGGGGCAGGCTCAGGCTCAGGCTGGAGTCGGGACCTGCAGAGCTGAGGAGACAGAGATCAGAGGATCAGAGAATATCCTGAGCTGGAAGGGACCCACAAGGATCATCAAATCCAACTCTTGAGAAGAACACCCTGCATAAGAACACCCCAAGAATGTCACCAGATGTCTGAGGATGCTGTCCAAATGCTTCCTGAGTGGGGTCAGGTGAGACAGATAATTAAAGAATCATTAAAATTGGACAAGATTTCCAAGATCATCAGGGCAAACCTTTGACTGAGCATCTCCTTGTCAATTAAACCACACCACTAAGTGCCACCCACAGCTCCCTCAGCCACTCCTCATAGCACTGACTCCCCAGCCCCTTCCCCAGCTCCACGCCCTTCTCTGGACACGCTCCAGCCCCTCAATGTCTGCTTTGTAGTGAGGAACAGAACTGGGCATGGCACTTGAGGGGCCTCAGCAGTGCCCAGCACAGCGGGACAAGCACTGGTCCAGCTGGGGACACTGTTCTGGGATCAGTGAGATTGAGATGGGGCGGGTGAGGCAGAGAAGGGCAGGATGAGCCCGAGCAGGGGTGGTCGGGTGAGACTGAACTAGGGTGGGTGAGGCAGGGAAGGGCAGGATGAGCCCAAGCAAGGGTCGGTCGGGTGAGACTGAGATGGAGCGAGTGAGGCAGAGAAGGGCAGGATGAGCCCGAGCAGGGGTGGTCGGGTGAGACTGAACTAGGGTGAGCGAGGCAGGGAAGGGCAGGATGAACCCGAGCAGGGGTCGGCCGGGTGAGACTGAATGAGGCAGGGAAAGGCCGGGTGAGCCCGAGCAGCGGTGTGTCCCTCACCGGAGCCCCGGGGCGCGCAGCCCGAGCTGCCGGAGCAGGCGGCGGTTGCGGCAGTGGCGGCCCGAGCTGAGGTGCTCCAGGATGCGGTCGCGGCGCACCCTCAGGGGCAGCTGGCACGGCGTGCACAACAGCGTCTCCACGGCGCCCGCCGGGCCCGGCCCCGCCGGCTCCCGCCGCACCGACAGCTCCGAGAACTCGGCCGCGTAGTCGTGCAGCGTCTTCCTCCTCCGCCCCATGGCCCGGCCCCGCTGACTCGGAAGCGGAAGGCCCGCCCGCCTCACGCCGTTGCCCGGCAGCGGCCCCGCTCCGAGCGCCGCGGTGCAGGACAGACCCCGGCCCGGCCCGGCCGCAGCCCCAGCCCCGGGCGATGGAAGCCGATGACTCGCAGGGAGCAGAGCTCGCCGAAACCATGGGACAGCTCCGGCAGGAGCTGCGGAAAGCCAAGGATGACCACAAGATGGCCATAGGTACCGCGGGAGGTGCCCAGAGCACGCCTTTACCTGCCTAGGTCTCATTCAGTTCGGCTCCTTTCACCTTGGAAACATTGCAGGGTGTCGCTCACAGGCTGAAAAGCCGCTTGCTTTGAAAACACTTGTTTTCTCCCCTTGGAAGTGAAGAACACGAGAAAACCAGCAGAGAAAGTGCTGAGCAGAGTGGCAAAGCAGGGCTCGAGGTGCCCACTCTGCGTGTCCTCAGAGCAGCGCCCACCTCAAAGCCAGGCCGTTTAATACACATGGAATAACAGAATGGTTTGGGTTGGAGGGACCTTAAAAATCACCCAGTGCCACCCCATGCCATGGGCAGGGACACCTTCCACTATCCCAGGTTGCTCCAAGCCCTGTCCAACCTGGCCTTGGACACTTCTAGGGATCCAGGGGCAGCCACAGCTTCTCTGGAAAACCTGTGCCAGGCCTAGCCACCCTCACAGGGAAGAATTTTTTCCATACATCCACTCTAACCCTGTTCTCTATTAGTGTGAAGCCATTCCCTCCTGTCCTGTCACTCCAGCACCTTGTAAACAGTCTCTGTCAGTTCTTTGTGGCACTGGAAGGCCACAATTAGTCACACTGAAGTGAAACCACCTTTTCTTCTCCAGGCTGTACAAACCCACATCCCACAAACCACATCATCACCCAGAACTACTGTGATGCAGCATTAATGTGACCCAAGTCTGGTCCCAGACTGTTCCCACAGTGGCTTTGTTTATGCTCACCTGAAAAAAGCAGCCACAGGGCGTTCAGCAGGGATTTGCTTTGCTAACAGAATACTCTCCCACTTCACAGGTGCCATCTCTTCCTTGCAAAGACAGATGGAGATCCAAGAATCCGAGCTTCGGAGAATCAAATCCGAAAAGGAATTGCTCCAGAAGCAGCTCAGAGTGAGAGAAGTCCAGTTCCAAGCTGTGTCTGACAAGGTACGGCCCAAGAGCATGGTGGCCATGGCTAGCAGGAGACATGGCAGCTGGGAATTTGGGATTTTTGCAACATTCCCTCTCTCATAGGCAGGAGGGGCACCTGTGGCTGTGAAACTGAAGTGTAAAACATTCTCCTTCCAGCTTTGCAGCCTTACAGAAGAACAGAGGCACGAAGAAGCAGTGGTGATGATGGAGGAGGAGAACCAAAACCTTCAACAGGTGAATTTGAGCAAAGCCTCTACAGAAAAGTCTGTTTGCTGTTTCACTGGGCTGGTTGAGTTTGGCATATAAAACCCCCACTTAACCCCAGTAGTTTTAGAGAAAACACCAAATAATAACAGCTACCACTACTGGTGAGATTGTCAGTCCAGAGATTCTGCCCAGGAAACATTTGGACCAAATAGTGGGAAAATAAGGTCAAACTTGCTCACTTTCTTCTCCCCAGTGACAGCTGGATTCCTGTATCTGCTCAGGTTGTTGCAGAACAGGAATTCCAGCTGGCTGAGCAGAACAAGCTCATCAGTGAGTTACAGGGGACAATCAGCCAGCTGCAGGCTGAGGTTGTGACCACCCGCCTCCACCTCCTGGAGCAGAAACAGGCCCAGAAGGAGACCCAGAGCCAGTTTGAGGCACTGCAGCACACAGAGCTGCAAACCAGAGTGGCACTGGAGCTCATCAGCAGCAAGGTAAGTGTGGCCTCTTTCACCTCAGAGCCCTGTCTCCCTCTTGGGACACACTTGGGAATCTCAGTCCATTTGCTCCCTAGCTGTGGAGCAGGCAGCTCTTGTGCCACTTAAAAAGAAAAGAGACCTCAAATACCAGAAACTCTGGAGAAAGGTGAGTTCAGGTCAGGTTTCTAACATCCTTCCAGACCCAAGGTAACAAGAACCACCCTAAAGTCATCTCCTGGTGCCAGGGGAAGAGCCTTGGCCCACCCAGACCCACATAATCACCACAGCACTTTCAGTGAAGCCCAAACTGCCTGTAATTTCACATAAACACTTCACAGTCTCTGTAGATCAGTGCAAATGCACATTAAGCCTGAACACACCCGCCCTCCTCTTTTATCCAAAGTTTGAAAGGTATAGAAACAAAATAATCCAGGCTACGTTCAGCGTGGAGGGCATCCAGGACCCCCAGGGCGAGCTCACGGACGATGAACTGCTGGAGGCAATGCAGGTATGTGGCTGTCCCAGACAGCTTCCAGCAGCCAGGAAGGGACTGCTGAGCTAAGAGGACACTTTGCAGTGCTGCTCCCAGCCTGCCCACCTCTTCACACGTGGCTGATTTTCAGAAAATCTTTAACGAGCGGACGGAGTTCCAGCAGATGCTGAAGAACAAGAGCAGCAGGACGTCACTGCTCAGCAGCGACAGCAGCACAGCATCACCAGCAAGGAGAAGGAAATCCTCCAGGATGGAAAAGCTCTGATGGCTGAGCCAGAACCCATCACCAGCCTCAGGTTCTGGGCTCTCAGCTCGGAGCAGGTGCCTTACAAGAAATTAAACTCATTTTACTGACACCAAGTTCTGTTGGAGTATCTGATTCAATTGTTTCAGCCAACTCAGAGCACAAGTCACTGGAAATCCTTGGTCTGTAGTAACACTTGACTTCCAGAGAAGCCTGAAGCACAAGGATGGCTTGGCTACAAGCAGCTGGGCAGTGTATAATTCCCATTTTTGCCTTGGGAAGTTTCTAAGTGACATAACTGAACATCCCCCAATGCCAGAACGAGGGACAGTGCCAGGGCTGCAAAAGCTGTTTTATTTTTCCATTCCATGTGCAAGTCCCGACATGGGGATGTATTTGACATAGCAGCAATTCAGTTAGAGCTCTGAGATATCATTTTTACCAGAAGAGAGTCAGTCTGGGGGTCACGCTGGCTTAGGGAGAGGTGTGAGTGCCCACCAGTGCTCACCCACACATAGAGGTCACCCAGAGACTGCCAAACAAGAACTGCTCCAACTGCCTGTATTTTGGAAGGTAAAAATAGGTGGGTAGGGCAGAAAGCTCCAGGAGGGTCACTCTGGGCATCAGTGCCTGTACTCTGGGGGGACAGGGAGTTCAGCAGTGTCAGCTGGAGGCAGCTCTGAATAGACCTGAACCTCCTCAGCAAAAACAAAGCCAGTGCTCGCCCACAGTGACTCTCTGGGCACACACAAGGTCACCACAATTCCCACAGGGATGGAGGATGGCCCTGAAATGCACTGGGACACACAAACCCTCAACAAATCCCTTAAAAATGGAAGCTGCGCTCATGTCTGAACACAAAAACCATCACTTTAAAATGCATCCCTCAAGTTCTGACAGCAATTAAATGCTTCTGACAGCAACTAAATGTTCACAGTTACTCCAGATAAAATTCTGCAGAACAAGATGTCAGCAAAGTGCTTTGGCATTCTGGCTCCAGGTTGTACCCAGCAGAGGACCTCAGTTCCACACTGTCAATTAACTGCATTCCTCTGCTGCCATAATAATGATCCAGATGAAACACCAGGAGGAAAAAGTGATCTTGCAGAAAAATGTGACTGTGCTTGTTTTGAACATTGCAATGATTTTCTCTACTGCATTCTGACATCCAACAGCTTCTCTGCCTTCAGCCCATGTTTGAAGATGCTGCTCTTTTGCACAGGCCTAACATGGATGATGTCTGTTAAGGATGAAAATCCCAATTCTCCTTGCTGTAGCTCATCAAACTCTGCAGCCATTGCTTTCCCAGCAGGATGCTCCACATCTTTTCTTTAAAAACCCATCTCACTGTGCATCAGTTGTGTTGTTGAATACATGTAAAAAACCCCAAATAAAGGCAATGGAATCCTCTCTCAGCTCAGGCACCTGCTAACGGATCACAGTCAGCAGAGAGGACACTGTGGCCAGGTCTGTTTTGGAAGGATAAAGTACTTTCAAGTTCCCATCCGTGTCCACCACTCGCACCTGCTCCACCACCAAGGGCAGGTTCAAATTCCCTGGTCCACAGAGAGCATCTGATTCCACATCTGAACCAGAGCCTTCCTTGTTCTCCAAGGCAGATCTGTTCAGCTCTGCAATTTTCTGCAAAGCAAAGTACAGAGAACAACATCAATTCTGTGGCCGGGAACAAAGAGAGGGAGTAACAATACTACAAAAATACAAATCAGCTTCTGTGTTCTTCTCAATGCATGTGAGCAATGACACATTTGGCAGGAGCCCCCCCAAGAACAGAAGAATATTTTCCTGAACTCCCTACCAGGATAAGGGTGTCCATCACATCCTTGCAGATCTGTAAACTGGTATCACTCGTCACTTCCAGAAACAGGTCCCGGGTCTCTTTTCTAATCTGTAAGAGTTTCAGAGATGAAGCAAGTGAGGAGTAAGAGCAGCTTATCCACAGCCCCCTGGACACGTCCCAGCACACAGAGCTGAAGGTTTTCACTCTGTTTAATCAGGGGCAAAGCTCTGCTGTTCTTTACAAATCAAAAGCCATATTATTGCCCTTCCAAAGCTTTTGCACAGGCAGGCTGGTGTTTTGGAACAGATTTCCAGAGGTAAAACTGTAACTCCCAGATCCCTCTCAGTCTGACAGCAGAGCCCATATAAACTGTAAGAGTTTATACTTGGACTACAAGCACAAGGTTCACAGAACTGTATGCCTTTGAGTTAAACATCTCACAATAGAAAGAAACACTGCTTAATTATTGATGTATTTCCATGATTGGGAAGTACCTTTGTTTTCTCACTATTGGTTATTGGTGGGAAGGAAATCACAGCACCTTCAGCATCCACCAGGCACGGGTAGTTGTCTTTGCCATCCAGCAGCTGCAGGTACCTGCCACCAGAAACAAAGCAGCAAGAAGTGAGCAACTGAGAGAGCTGGACACAATGGCAGCAAATAGTGACAAAAAGGAATCAGTGTGTGATCTCAGCACAGGGCAGGGCCACACACTGCCTTACAGCCCATCTGCTGCTACGTCAAGTTTTCCTCATGCCCGATTCCCTCAGCTCACAGCATGTGCACCACACACCCTTCAATCCTCTCTGCTTCCCTTCTATCTGCTGTTCTGAACACATCTGTCACATCCCCAGTGGAGTCACCAAAATGTACGTGGGAAAACCACAACAAGGCACTGACCTGTGCAGCCCAGAGACGTTCTGACGCTTCTTCTGCTTCCGCTGCTCCTCAGCCTCCAGCTGCAGCTGGCGGAGAAGATCCTTTGCCTTGATCTCCTTCCGACCCAGGGGCGCGATCTGCACCACGCGGGAAAACAAAACATTTTAAACAAATTTCACTCAAACACCAGGGTTACAACACTCCTCTGTAAGCAGGTCAATAATTAAACAATATTCCTGCATGTTGTCATGCCTTTTTCACCACGGAAATACTTTCCATTTCACATGGACTGCTGTAACACCCACTTGAAAAACAGGCTCAGCCGCTAGTACTAAACCAGGCACCTGGTACAGCAGGACAGCAAGGAAATCAGAACAACATCTAAAGTTCCTGGAGTTTGTTTTCTAGGTTCTATTGAGGTAAGAAAGCACCCTTAAGCCCTACCTTGAGCTCATCAGGAGGCTGAACATCATATGTCAGAGGAGCTTTGACCAGCTGCAAGTCGTGGGTGGCAATGGTGGCCACTGTGCGCTTCTCACAGATGTCCTCGTGCAGCTTGGTCTGAAACATAAAGGATGCCATCAAAATAGATCAAAAAGGCAATATGATTTATCCCTTCCATGTGCAGATTCTTCTGTATTTAATGTTGGCAGCACTACCAGCCAGGTGACTAAAAAACAGAGCCCTTCCCTTCATCTGTATCTCTGTTACAGCCCAAATGCAAGGGTAGCAAAGCCTGACAACACGTGACATGTTTTTCTACAGGGAAACCAAATTTTAAGTCAGAAAGCAATCCCAAATACTCAAGCCTTGTAACCTGAAAGCAGCTCCCACCTGCCACCCAAGGGACAGGTGAGCAGCAGGCCCAGGAACAGGCCTGTGGGCAGGATACCTCAGTCAGAAAGCTGGGTGTGTACCATGGTTTTAATGGATCAGGGAAGCTGGAGCCAATCCAAGGGATCTCTACGCAAGGACACAGGGTTATTTTTAGCTTTTAACAGGTTCCACAGTACTAACAAGCTCCCGTTACAGTTACAACACAAATGTGAGTGCGTCCATTGCCCTCGTGGCAATACCTGAGCTCTGATGGGTCCTTCCCAAAAACAGTTCTGTTGATTTTGGACAGACTAGGCATGTGCTGCTGGCAGGGACAACTCACCCTGTACCCTCGCACCTGCTGAGTGAGGAGCTCACCTTAAGTTTCCAAACTCATCTGCTAGAAGAGGCCTACAACAGTCTATTTCCAACTCTGCCAGCAACATTCCCATTCCAAATGGGCTCCACCTGTTACCTGCATGGTCAGGAACCTCTTGAGAGCATTTCCCGGCTTTAAGTTCACTCCTTTCAGCACACAGCACACGATGAAGGCTCGCACGTCCTTGACACCCGGGCTCACTTTGACCACCAAAGGCGCTGGGTTCTCAGAGACGTGCAGAACCTTCACCAGCAGCTTGCTCGCCTCTTCCACCTCATCCTGCTCCCCATCCCCACTGTCCTTCTTCTGCTTCTCCCTCTTCTTCTTCCTGACGTCCTCTCTGCCACTCTCAGTCTTCCCCTTCCCACGTCCCCCGGCCCGTAGGTACTCCAGAATGGCCTTCGTCTGGCACCCATTGACCATCTTCTCCAGCCGCTTGTCCCTCAGCTGGTTGCCCCTGAAGTTGGCCTCCTTCAGGCGGGGGCAGTCGGCCAGCGCGGCGGGCAGCTCCCGTAGCTGGTTGTTGGCCACGTCCAGGCTCTGGAGGAGACAGAGATGGGATGGTCAGGGGTGAGCAACAGGGACGCTCTGGAGGAACAGAGATGGGACGGTCAGGGCTGCGCGATGGGGACGCTCTGGAGGAACAGAGATGGGACGGGCAGGGCTGCGCGATGGGGACGCTCTGGAGGAGACAGAGATGGGACGGTCAGGGGGGCGCGATGGGGACGCTCTGGAGGAGACAGGGATGGGACGGTCAGGGGGGCGCGGCGGGGACCCGTGCGGGGCCGCGGGCTCGGCTCCCACCTTGAGCGCCGGCAGCGCCGCGATGTCCGCGCCCAGCTCGGCCACCTCGTTGTCGGCCGCGTCCAGCCGGCTGAGCAGCGGGAAGGGTGCGGGCGGCCCCTCGGGGGGCAGGAGCCCTCCGGGCAGCGCTCGCAGCCGGTTCCCGGACAGCAGCAGCTCCTGCAGCTGCGGCGCGGCGCGGCAGAGCCCCGGGCCCAGCTCCCGCAGCCGGTTCGCGCTCAGGTTGAGGCTGCGCAGCTGCGGGAAGGCCGGGGCCGCGTCCTCCGCGCCGCCGCCCGTCCCTCCGAGCGCGGCGGGCAGCGCCTCCAGCCCGTTCCCGGACAGGTCGAGCAGGCGGAGCGCGGGCAGGGGCCCGCCCAGCCCCGCGCCCAGCCCGGCCGGGCCCAGCGCGTTGCGGCTCAGCACCAGCGTGTGCAGCGCGGGCAGCGCGGCCGCCACGCCCGGGCCGAGCTCCCGCAGCGCCGCGCAGCCGCTCAGCTCCAGCGACTGCAGCAGCGGCAGCGCCAGCAGCGCCTCCGGCAGCCGCCCGCCGCCCGCCGCCACCCGCTCCGCCACCGCCGCGCCCGCCAGCGACAGCTCCCGCCGCCGCTCCCGCGCCGCCGCCTCCAGCTCCGGCCACGGCCCCGCCGCCGCCGCCGCCGCCATCGCGCCCGGAGCCCGCCCGGCGCCGCCGCTGTCCAAGGGCCGCCCCCGGCTCGGTCCCGCCCTCGGGGAGGGTCCGGCCGCCAGCCGAACCCGCGGCGGGAACTCGGCAGCACGGGATGGTATCGCTGCTCCTGGATGCAGGGATACCGTCAACAAGGGCAAAACACGGGACCGCGTCCTGCTGAGCCGCGGGTCTGCCCCAGCGGGGCCGCACAGGCCCAGGCGCAGCTTACACAGGGGAAGCTCACACACGGGTACAAGTCACACAGGTCCAGGTACAGCACATGCCTGTACAGTTCACACACATACAGCACACAGGGGTAAAAGTCACACAGGTCCAATTACAGCACACACATGTGCAGCTTACACAGCTACAGCACACACTGGTACAGGTCACACAGGTCCAGGTACAACACACATACAGCACACACTGGTAGAAGTCACACAGGTCCAGTTACAGCTCACAAATGTACAGATCCAGATCCAGCTCACACACATACAGCACACACTGGTACAAGTCACACAGACATGGCTCAGGCAGGTCCAGGCACAGCTCACACACAGGTACAGGTCCCACAGGCAGGGCTCACACAGGTACAGCACTCACAGGTACCCACAGGTGCTGCAGGAACCACAGCCTCACACCACTCTGTACCCATTTCCATTTGTAGCAGGTGGAAAATGCAGACGTACCCTCCAGAGTGGCTAAAGTAATTTATTAAATATGTGCAATAAAAATAACTGACATTTAACACAAGTGACTCCTTTTCTTGATAAAATCTCCCAGATTTCAGTATGTGATTTGCTCATCCAGCACTTAGGAACATGCAATCAGTGTAAATTGCTCTCTTGGGGTAGTGGAACACCAAGAAGTCTTTTGGGATGAGATCAACTCCTGCACACATGCACAGGGGCTGCTCTGGAACCATCTCTGCAGTGACACATGAAAATGCCACAGCTGGCACTCAGGCACAGCTCAGATGGACAGAGATCACTCAGGACCATACTCTTTCCTTGCTTTCCTACTGAGGCCCCGTTGTAGCCAAATCCAGGTTCCAGTCCAACACTTTGCAGCCCTTCTTTTGCTGCCCAGACCCACACCTGTGCAATGGATTTTCTCTGGAATATTTTGCTCAGGACTTGGTGGCACAGCACCAAACCTCGTGGTGTTTTTCACTCCAGTGTTTATTTTGCCACTGCAGCAAACCCAGGTTGTTAATTAAGGAGCAATCACAGTAAATTCACCTTTAAACATGACACTGGTGGTACTACTGTACTCCTTTCACATTCTAAAAAATTGCTATTTTATCACCACTAAGTTATTTCCTTATTGTACCACAGAGTAGTTTTCATCCTTACATCTCTGAGCAAGATCAATGGCTATTTTGAGATATTTATTATTTATTTAGCATAGAGAATCAGGCCCTCAAATAGGAACCCATGTCACTAAAGGGAAAATAAAAATACCTATATATATGTTCCTAATGTGTGTATAAATATTGAAATATGTATTTGGAAGAGTTAGAGAAACAATTTATACAAAGAATTTTGAAATCCAAGCACACTGATCTACCTGGAAAATCCCTAAGCTGGTATGCAGGCTGCAGGCAAACTAGAAAAACTGTATTACAAAATCAGCTCTATATACAAAACAACACCACAAAGTCACTCCATGGGAGTAAAAACCCCCAAATTTCCCCTCATCTTATCATGGCCACTCATTCCCGTGCCCATGGTACCAATTCCACACTGGAAAGCAACAGCTGGAATGTTAAAGAGAGAATGTTAGAGATGTGAGAATGGCTGCTTTGGTACAAAGCTTCATGCCTTGGTTTTAATAGACTTTGTCTCTCTGAAGCTGTTGAAGACACGTGCTCCAGTCTGTGGATGGTTATTTTAATCAATACCTAACTAGAGGAGCTCAGTATTTGAGCTGAAAGTGCACTAAAGCAGGCAAAAAGGGCTAAATTTACTAATTCAAGCTCTTCAGGACCCAACCAAGATAATTTTTTCATTTCTGTAAGGGGTCATTTCTAGGGGATACAGACTTGGAGGGTTTAGTTTAACCCTCCTGCCAAGTGGGCTCCTAAGGCACTTGGTGCACAGTGAGAGGCTGCAATGTCCTGTCAACTCCTGCACAGTGGCACAACCAGGAAAACATCCAGCCAGCCCTCTGGCTTTTCCATTTGGTGCAAATTCCTGGGGTTGAGCAGTGCTTTGGGTACAGCTCTGCTGCCTTTAGAACCCTAAATCTGACACACACACAAGGCCAGGCTTCCCCCACGTGCGGTTCCTGTTCCTCGAGCACCAGGAAATAGACTTCTCTCCACTGACATAATTAATGTCTTTGAACCCATTAAATTACTGACATGGGATTGGAGAGCACAGTTACCTGTCAAAATAATGTTTTTGTCCCAGAACATTTGATATTTCCAAAATGAGCATTCCTAGCAAAGCAAAGCCCAGTGCTGCAGTGACAGCAACGCCGTGGGGATCACACCAGGCACTGCCCAAGGCTAAAAACAACCCACACAAAAGATGATACAAGTTGCCTACGATTTTTAAATAGCTCAGAAAAGCCATGTGCCCGGGTATTCAGACAAAGGAAGAAATACTTTTCCTGTCATCGCTTGGAGTATGTTTTGCCAGTGTTTTTATTTGGGGCCCCTCGAGTTCTGATCTTGCTTCCTATTGAAGGAGATTGAAACTTTGTTCCTGAAGGACCTGGTCTCCTTAAATAGTGGCCAACTGCTTTGGCTGCAAAGAGAAAAATAGAGATCATTATTGCACATCTAGTCCCAGGAGTGAATTTAATCCTCTGTTGTGATTCCCAAGATCTGTTAAGTCTGAATGACTGAGCCTCAGCATGTTCCACACCAGCAGTGTCAGACTGAATGGTCAGGGCTCCTTTCCTACCTCTGGGAAATAGCTCTGGAATCAGAGCTTATCCAGGCAGGATTCGCTTCTGTTTCCAAATTCTAAGCAGCAACAAACTACCAACTGACTGGTGTCTCATTAGCCAGTACAAACAGCAAAGCTGAGGACAAACAGACAGGATTGTGCATCCAGTTTAACACTGGAAAGTGCCAAGTTTAACCCTTATGATTTACTTAGGTCAGCTGGAAGAAACAATTCCACAGCTCTTTCCAGGAACCTGGGATAGTGACATGTAGATATGAGCAGAGCATAGCTCAGAGTATGTGAAATGAAAACACAGCTAACTAAAAAGCTCCAAAGAGTCTGAAGGAGGAAAGGTTTGGAGGTTACTGGCCAAAAGTTCTGGTGCTGCAGGCAGCTTGTTTAACTTCTGTGTTCTGGAAATAAAAGGATTTCCCATGTTCTTCATAAAGGAAACTGCTGGAAAAAAACACCACCTGACATCATCAATGTCTCTTTGATGGTGAAAAAGCTGCACAATGATAAATCTGTCAGGTTCCTGAGTCTGGACTGGAAAGGAAAAGCAGTGCACAGCACTCACTGTTCAGTTCACCCTGTAATTAGGATCAGATTAGCAACCTTTGATTGGACACTAAAAGCTAAATCAGGCTCTGGTTCCCTGTGTCAGCGTTCAGGAGCTTTCCAGAACACTGTTCAGCTGATTGTTCTATTCACGGTCATCTTGTTCTGCAGAAAAAATCCCTGAACTGATCAATTTATCAAATCTGCCAGTTCCCCACCAGCTGAGCTCGTGTCCTCCTTTGAACATGACTGTTATTGCATGATTTTGGGAATTTGCTCCCAGGCACACTGCTCCAGCACAAGAACTATCACTTAGCTCACCCAAATGCAAACCACGAGTTGTACAGACCCAGCTCTTGGGGATATAACACTTTCCTTAAGCAAAAGTACTGTTTTGTACTGTTTTAACACAGTAAAAAGTACAAATGTTATTATCATTAACTGATGTCTTACCAGGCTGCAGCAGAATGGTTTTGTTCAGGAGGGATGTCCTCCTCTGGTTCATTTTGCAGCCATCTCTGCTCATCAGGTGAGGTCTCCAGGCCTGAAGTCAATTACAAAGCAATGATAGCACAACCTCAGCAAAATTAGCTTTAATTGTGTACAAACTTTTTATCAACAGCACTTTAATCTGCTTTTTCAAAGTATGGGCTCCTTGCTATGAAATAGAAATTAATGTTTCCAGTATTTTAATATATTCTGAAAGGTCCATCACATTAAACCAACCCATAACAACATCTGCCCAATGTGAAGGATGGCCTCACCTCTTCTCCAGGAGGAAAGTTCTCATGGCACAAAGGGCAGTGGTTTGCCACATTTTCTGGTTTGGCAGCTGAAATTGTTTGGAAAATCATGTAAGAATTGCAAAGAGAGGCTAATTTCAGACACAAGAAGAGAATCTGCAGAGCAAGTAGCATAAAACTACCCCATGACTAAGCCAGTTCCTGCCCTGTTACCATTAACTGCTCCCAAAGAAGCCCTGTGTTTAATCATCAAAACAAGATCAAAAGGAATCTCAGAACCCAGAATCACATGGATTGGAAAGAACCTTAAAGATCATCCTGTTCCCCCTTGTCCTGTCACTCCAGGCCCTTCTAAACAGCCTCTCTCCACCTCACTTGTAGCCCCTTCAGCCCCTACTAGAAGGTCATAATTAGGCCACCCCAAAGCCTTTTCTTCTCCAGGCAATCCCAATTCTCTCAGCCTTTCCCCACAGCAGAGGCGACCCAACCCTCTGATCACCTTGGTGCCTCCTCTGAACTCACTCCAGACCAGGGCCATGTCCTTTCTGTGCTGGGATAGTGCATAATCTACAGGGATATGGAAGAGATTTCCCAGTCCTCTCACTCACCCTCCCAACACACATTCACACAGGCCAAGCACCAGAAAACTCAGGCATTTATCCCATCCTGAGGATTCACTTAGATCCCTAAGCCTGACTTGCCAAAGATCCCTGGTGTTTGAAATCTGAACTTCTTATGTTCCACCTTCCTGTTTGGAGCTACTCACGATTGCAAATCCTGCTCTTTATGTGTCTGGGC